CCGTATAGATCACGGTTCAAATAAGGCATCGTATTTCTTCTTGAACCCGGCAACTGTGTCGGCAGCAGCAACATCGGGAAGAAGATTGTGCCATGCGTTCACGGCGCGCATTGAGAATCGATAGGTGTGCGGGAGGCCTATCAACGGCCAGTTGGAAGTACCGTGCGACCTCCGGGATGCCACCGCAAATGATCACTTTGTATATCATGTTTTGTTCGTCTCTGGGACGTCGAAATTCGAAGGTAAACAGATTAAGTGCTTTACAACGGTCTGGATATGTTAGTCTCCTCACTTCGGGCACCATTCTTGACCCCAGCTGTTTTACATATTCGATATCGGTCATCTCGCCCTTCGTACACGGGAAGGAAGCGGACGATCCATATTCAATGATCGGGTGGATGAACGTGACCATAAGCTTACGAAATATCTGCATGGATCAGGACCTGAATACTCTTTTGAATATCCAACGTAGTGCCAGACCCTTGCATCTTGCCTAAGTTGATTGTTCTCGTGTTTTGAGGTCATCCTGTATGATAACACCCAAGTCACGAGTACTCCTAATAGCAGCAAGTGTTGTGTTTTCCATTGTATGTGGTGGGTGGTCCCGGTTTCTCCCAATCATCAGTTAGTGTGATTTATTCACATTGACCGGTATCTTGATCTCCAATGACCATTCGTGGATCACATCAAGATCCTTTTAAAAAGTCATTGTGTCTTTGGGGTTGTGTTTAACATGCCATACGCTGAGGTCGTCCGGAAATAGAAGGCATGGGGACAAAAGTCTTGATGGATATCCGCAACGTATATAGAAAATAGTCTGGGACCCAGCAATGACCCTTGTGGTACACCACTACGAGCCTCAAACAAAGAGGAGTGCCCTTCGCCGACCCTGACCCGGCATTTTCTGCCAAACAGGTACCGTTTGATCCATTTGACTACAGGTCTTTGGATGGGCGTATTACTGAGCTTGGTCAGAAGGAGCATGTGATCGACTTTATCAAATGCCTTGCTAAGGTCGATTAAGGCCGCATGTGCCGGCAGTCGTTTTTCTCTGGCCTCGCACAAAGTCTCACGCGCCACCATGAAGTTAGTGTTGCACAATTTGCATTTGATAAAGCCGTGTTGTTCCTTCGGTAGGATTGTGGCTGGCCCAATGTGGGCATCGATTTTGCGACAGATAAAGTTTTCTAACACTTTCACAAACACGAAGGTCAGGCTGACTGGTCGATAATTCTGTGGAAGAAAACGGTCACCACCTTCATACCTCGGAGTTGTCAGACTGCTTCCAGTCATATGGTACCGTTGCAGTGGCTAGCATACAAGGAAACAGTTCTCTGATGCTCGGTGCTATTGTAGAAGCAAGCTCGCGGATAATCCTCGGATTCAGATTATCAGGTCCAGCGGCCTTAGTAGATATCAATTTACCTAATGTATTCTCAACATCTTCAATGGCAATTATTATGCCACCTTCAGTTTGGTCAGGGATGTCGAAGTCTTCACTGTCAGGTGTTGTTGCTAAGTATACGGTAGAGTATTGTTCAGTTAGGAGTTCAGCCATACATAACTCATCTGTTTGGAGCACACCATTGGCATTGTGGAGACCTTGCATGCCCGGGGTCTCACGACATTTTCTTTTCAATCGATTTGGCTGGGTGTCAACGTTCTGTACTAGATCGTCTTCATATGTTATTTTATTAGACCTCATTATACGCTTGCATTTATCTCTGATTGCTTTGAATGTCACTTTTGCT